TGCATATTTAAATAATCTATTTCTCAATAACTAGGAATTGTTTATAAACTTTTATAGTCTTATATTATTTTAAATAATCTATAAAATATGTCGAACATCTAAATATTTATAATTTATGCCTGGAAGTTGAATATAAAATATTTGTTTTAGTGGCGAATGTACGGTAATATGTCATGACGCTTTTTTTAAAAATAATGTATTTTTAAGCAAATTTTATGAACTTTTATGATTTTAAACTATTTTCAAGAGTCTATAGAATATGTTGAACATCTAAATGCTTACAATTTATATCTGGAAGTTATATAAATTAATTTTTCAAAAGTGACCAATATAGCTTAATATATCATGTCGCTTGTTTTAAAAATAATGTATTTTGAAGCATATTCTATGAACTTTTATAATTTTAAACTATTTCTAAGAGTTTGTAGAATATATCGAGCATCAAAATGTTTATAATTTATGTCTAGAAGTTATATAAATTAATTTTTTAATACGTGACCAATACCTATGATGCTGGGCGTCTATTAAGAACTTATTGGTTAATAACCAACCAATGAGCGCTCTAGTTTTGGGACCGCCCATACTCTGCCGGATACCTCTTATACCTCTTATATCATCATGCTTTCCTATTACATTTCTCTCAATTTTGCGACGAGAGAAACCAATTTTAATACTCTTATACCGGGTGGGAAAATTCAAAATGATCATCAGAAAATCTAGATTTCTAAGGGAAATTGAAAAAAACGTCAAAATTTTGATTCGAGGGTGGCATTTAAATGCCTTTAACAATATATTTAGATATAATGAATGTATTATTAGATACATTAATTAATATTATCAAAGGTGTTGATCTTTTTTCTCTGGAGTCAACGACACATAAGTTAATAAAGATGAACTATTTGTTGAGAAATAAATTAATTACAATTGTCGATTAATAATCTAATGATTCAATAAATTTACTAATATATATATAAAAAAAACACCTAGCAAAACTGGACAAAGTAAATTAATAAATATATTCATCTAAAAATAGAAAAAGAGAATTGTTAAATGAGTATACAATATGTGTTAAATAAATATTTCTTAAATAATGAACATGGCAATTTCAAGAAGAAATCTGTAAACGAATCCAATCTCTATATTTCATTAGGTCAACGTAAACAATATAATTGTTGAGATCACATGACATGGAAAAATCTAAAATGGAACGCGAAACAACTGCACGTAAATAATAACGTCCATCATTTCTACGTATTACTAAACCACTTCCACTGTCACCGTTACATGGTCCAATACCATTTCTAGAACCAGCACACAAGGTACGATTGGATGTCAACTCGAGAAAGGCTTGATTACTCCGTAAACAATCTTCCTAGATAATATATAAAATACATTAATTCAAATACCATATACACATACCATATGATTTAAATAATATTCAAATGTTTATTAGTGTTATCTATAATTTATTAATTCAAATACCATCTATATATATACCAAAAAATCAATGAATATTTATCATTATTATATATCCAACTCTATATCGTTATTGCGGTATTGCATTTTTCTAATTAATTTGTTTTTTTTACCTGAGAAACGATAGGTACAACAACTAGTCGAGGTTCATTCGAAATTTGATCACGTTCATTTTTACCCCAGCCTATAACGTATCCATTATATCCAACGATATCTCGTAAATCGTCAGATCCAGTCCATAAACAAATCGGTTTAATAGATTCAGAAAATTCAACTGTTTCGAGTAATATCATAACAGCAAGATCAGCATCAGCAGATTGATCATAATGATCGTAATCTGGATGTACTTTGTATTCTTTAATTCCTCGCCTGATCGAACCTTCTTTTCTCTCATCCCACAAACTATAATGACCTAATGAGACACTTATGGTTCCGGCTGGTAAGACCAATTTATCCGGTGATCTTCTTGTACAATGTGCCGCTGTTATCGATAAAACAAAATCTTATTTGTTAATCTAATTTGAAAGAATTACAATAACCAATGATTGATCATCGAAATACAATCACTATTTCAAAGTTATTACGGAATCGTACCAGTAATAATGTGTTTATTGGTGACCAGTGTACCGGCACATTGAAATTCAAGATTTAAATCAGCAAAAAAGATAGCAACCAACCAAGGCCATTGGTTTGGTTCAGTCTCAACACCTCCAGCTACCAACAGATTACTGTTTTCCTTTCCACATTGCTCATAGTTGTTAGGTTTTAAAGACGATGATGATGATGATAATGGTGGTTTTCTTAATGGTAGTGGCATTGATGATTGTAATGGTTTGGGTTTCAAGTATGGTCTTGATGGTTGTTGTAAGGGTTTGGGTTCAAAGTATGGTCTTGATGATTGTTGTAAGGGTTTGGGTTCAAAGTATGGTCTTGATGATTGTTGTAATGGTTTGAGATCAAAGTATGGTCTTGATGGTTGTAATGGTTTGGGTTCAAAGTATGGTCTTGATGGTTGTTGTAATGGTTTGTATTCCAAGTATGGTTGTGATGGTGGTAGCATTGATGGTTGTAATGGTTTGTATTCCAAGTATGGTTGTGATGGTGGTGGCATTGATGGTTGTAATGGTTCGGGTTCTAAATATGGTTGTTCCGGTTGATTGAATGATAGTATAAAATTATTGAAATTCGGTCGTTCATCATGATTGTTAGCAGAATTAGCGGAGGTAAGTAATGCTTTTGGTGGAAAGAGCGTGTGTTCCAAAGAAATCGAAGTTACGATTCGTCCTGATGCTGAAATTAATAAATCGTTAGATGGTTTTACATTTACAAATTTGGATTGTATTATTCGTAGATGATATTTTGATAGCACGAAATACCATTATACACGGACTAATTGGTGTTGATTATTGATTATAAAAGAACAAAACTCCTTACCACGTGGACCACTGCAATATAATTGTCCATTGAACCATAGATTTGTTAAAACAGGTAACGGTTCTGTTACTGGAAAATTAACTACGTAGAATAATGGTCTACCTTGTTGAATCTCTCTTACTGTTTCCTCTTTTGATCGTGCTAATGCTAATTGGCCGATGTATTTCTAAGAAAAAAAAAAGAAAAGAAAAAGAAAAATCAAATATATCTATCATCAACAATTTTTATTAATTATTTATGAAACAATTTAATGTCTTTTCAAAACGAAGCCACTTCAAAAAATTATTTAAAATAAAACAATAGTATATATATATATATATATATATATTAAATAATATAATTACCGAAGGTAATAAGGCGGCCAAACTAAGTTCTATTTTCAAATGTAAATCCGTATTTTTTGGCGGCGAAGATATTATCACCTGTCCTATGATCTCGCGACGATTATTCCAAAAATAACGAAAGTAATTAGGGCACGGTGATTGAACGGCCGAAACTTTGCAGGATAATAAAATCGATAAATAAATCAATGATATTAATCTTCCGATAGAATCGTAGAACATCTTGTTAAATGTTGGTGAAGAGGGGGACTGGGGGGTGCCTTCTTCTTCTTCTTCTTTTGGCACCATTCACATTACGTAAAAAATATCTTTTGACGTTCACTATAAAACACGAAGAGTTATTTAAACGGGGATTATTTTTTTTTTTAAATGTACCACACACTGTATAATATGTTTATTATTTCATTCGTAAAACAACAACGAAGTAAAAAACTTTCTTACCACTTCCCCTTCCTCTCTCTCTCTCTGCCCCGATATATTTTATTATATTTAAGATTTTCAAACCGATCACGACATATTTGTATGCGATTTGATGTTGATCATTTGCTTGTCAAACGAACAATGATTTAAATATTACTGTACACGCAGAGTAGAAGAGAATAATAGATAAGATCTGAAGTCTTACTTGAGTCTTACTAATATCTTCCTTCTCTCTCTCTCTCTCTCTCTGTCTCCTTCTCATTATTTATTTTTTTTTTATTCTTACTCTTTGTGAAATCGGACAAAAACAAAAATCGAAAGAATTTTTTTTTTCTCCCTAATTGAATTATTTTTTTGTTTATATTATTAATCAAAAAAGTTATAAATAGAAAGAAAGAAAGAAAGAAAGAAAAAGGAAAGAGAGAGAGAGAGAGAGAGAGAGAGAGAGAGAGAGAGAGAGAGAAAAAGTGGGAGAAAAGAGAAGAAGAAAAAAAATCGAAAGAATTCTCTTCCTCGTTTTTTCTTTCATCTTTTCTTTTATTATTATTATTATTATTATTATTTAAAGTAACAACGGGGACTTTTAAATCTTTCAATTATCTGATTCATAATTTTCCCAACATTTATTTACGTCATAGAATAATATACGTAAAATACCAAGGATTATCTTAAAAAATCTGAGACTTTCTTTATCGGGGAGGGAGTAATTCATTTGCGTTATTATACTTCCTTATCTTCTTTTTTTTTCTCTTTTTAGATTTTTATTCCTATTTTTCCTCGTACTAATATTAATTGGAAGATATTCCGGTCTCTGCTCGTGTAAGGTGTTACGTTGTTGTTGTTATTATTAATCATTAAAAATTTATTATAATTTATTTTGAATTGTTTGCTCTCTCTCCTCGATTTAATAATATTTTTACTTCCGTATGCTCTTCAATAATTTCATTGTAAATCTTGGGGAAATACCATAACCATGTGAAATCATACTTTGTCACTCATGTGAGTCACAATAAGGCGACGAACGATAGATAATTGATTATCCTTAAAAATAAAAAAAAAATAAAAATAAATCTAATTGTATTATGGTAATACAAATATTTGTTTGAAATGCACAAGTAAAGAAAATATTAATTTTACTTAGTTAGAATTGATTGTTAATAAATTTTTTCCTGGTGTCGCTACATTACAATTATTTTTCTTTCTTTTTCTTTTCATATTTTCGTACATAAAAGGAACGCATACGAATGATTAATAATTATTCTTCGAGTATAGATAATTGTAAAAAAAAAATTTTACAATAAATCACATGCAACTACGTTTATATTGTTATTTATATTTAATAGCACGCAATTTTCGTTTGCTTCATGGATTGCTGATAAGTTTTATACATTTTTCCAAGGTCATGTGCGTCTCTTTAACTTAAATATCTCTCTCTCTTTTTCTTCTTTTTTTTTTTTAAATCTTATTCTAACATTACTTCTCATAGTTAGTAAGAAAAATTGTTGACAAATGGATATACAAATTCTTAATCCTTTTCGTTTTGTTTTGTTTTTTCTTTTATATTTCTTCGAAAATAATTTTTCATTATAAATAATTAAGAGTAATTATTCTTTGACGGTTTAAAATGCGGTTTGTATGTCAATTCATTCTAATTTCATTAGAATTCTTCTTACAACAGCGTGCCGGTGCGTTTATTTTATTTTAATGCTTTACGAAACAACGAAAGCATCTTTTTTATTCCACGCAAACAATAAGAATTTAATTAGATGCTATAATAGAACGATTTTTTTTCTTCTATTTCATACACGATTATTCACCCTACATACGTGTATTTTTATTTATTAATTTATTCATCTAATGTGGTTAGAATAATTCAATATTTTTGTTATATTCTTTCATGTAACTGTAATATATATATATAAATTAATAAATACATAATCGCGATCATTCTGTGTATGTTGTAAATTTATTTAAAATTCATCTAATTTTTGTTTACTTTATATTATATATATAAATTTAAATAAAGCCGACAATATGACACATTGAAAGGGACTTCCTTTTCGCAAATGCATAATATCTATATTTTGAGAACTTTATTTTTGCGATTTTTCTAAATATTACGAATAAATAAACATATAATTAGAAAATAATTCTCTTCAAATAAATTATAATAGTTAGAAATCAAAGAAAGAGATCATTTTATGAATTTTATAGAAAATTATTAGATCGTTGTATGTGTTACCTTACGTTTTTGGGTTACATTAAACATTTTTAATGAGTATTATTGATGTGTGGCGTATTAGAATAAACATGAGTAAATGATGTAACGATACTACTCGTCACCAAATTACCATATTATGTAAAATTACATTATTACGAGAATTAATGATACTCATATCAGTATGCTTGAGAATATTTTTACGAATCTTCTTCTTTAAATTCGAATGATTTCCCGCGTTATTTTCATCCTTTCTTTAACAACTATTTATTTAATTATTAAACTTCTTTTTTAATGTCACGATTAACAAATTTGAACATAATTAATAAATTAAGTAGCTAAGAATGCATTATTAAACGAATTATTTATTAATTAACAACATTATGGAATTTAAAAGATAATTATTTTTCTTTGTGCATTCAAATTAAAAAAAATGTTATCTTAATTCTGATTGGCTCATAGAACTAATACGTCATCCAATGCATTTTCACAGAAATGCACTACAGTTTTTTTTTATTCGATATGCTAATTATTAATTATGCAAATTTTACATAAGAAATATTAACAGTTTTCATTTAAAATTAAAATAACTATGTACTACGGTAAATATTTAAAAAATAAGAAATATTCGCAGAAATGATACGATTCATGTTAGAATCATTCTACCAATCACAGTAAAGTATGAATAACATCAAATATCGTTTTCATAAACAAATACATTATAATTCCCTTTTGCTTTTTTAATTATATTTATCATAGTGATATTTCAACAGATATTATTTTTAGAATACATATATATATGTTTGTATTAAAATATATAAAAGAATATTATACAATTCATGTTATACAATAATTATTTTATAGGTTAAAAATACTGTTAGAAAAAGAGAGTCAGTACATTGATAGTATACATGATATTGTAAATATTTTATATTTGAAATAACCATCCAGTGCTATTTTATAATAAATAAATAGATGTTTAATAAAATGAATAAAGTTCTTAATATTTTTGCTAGACGATCAATATTACAAAGCAGTCGTTTGCTGTGTTCTAGTCATTATCAAATAAAACCTAATTATCATGTTAATAATGATATTTTGATGAACAATTCTATAAAAAATGGAATGAATTGTTCTATTATTAAAAGATTTAAGCACAAGAAAAAAAGTTCAACAAAGGTAATTAATTTACAAAACCGTTGTTTATTTTGTATAGATATATGTACACATATACATATATATAAATTGCATTAATCAACTTTAAAAAATGTTTCATTGCATTTGTTAGAGAGAACAAGTGGATTCAGATGAAGATGAAAATGAAGATGAAATGGATCTCGATTTGGATGAATCGCATGCTAAAAGTAAAATAGTGGATATAAAAGTTAATTCTTTACGCTTAGATGCAGTCATTAAGGCTGGTGTTGGTATGGCACGCAAGTAAGAAAGCTTATATTCTTAACGATAATAACGTATAATTAAAAGAAACAAAGAAATTTTAAAATTGATATTACGTTAAAATATAGAAAAGTTGAGGAAGCCTTTTATGAAAGTAAAATTCGCATTAATGGGAAAAAAGTATTGAAAATATCTACAGAGGTAATACTTGTTAATCTAAATAATATATCAAATACATATAAACTATGGTTAATAGTAAAAAAATAACATGTGTTTATATATATATATACATATTTTTATATCGCAGGTTAAACTAGACGATGAAATTGATGTTATTGTTAATCGACCTCTCGACAACTTGAATCAATTGATAGTGTCTCGTATTAAAATTTTATCTATAAGTGCTATATCTGGTGCTATTAGAATTAAAGTATGTAGAGATAAAAATTTATTAATAGATGAATATTCTCAGTTATAAAAAATGTATTAAAAAGAAAACTAAATTACACATTAGAATATGTAATAAGTTATTTAAATGTATCGTTCTCTTATTATACCTAAATAAAAAAAAGAATAAAAAGAAGAAGAAGAAGAAATATACATGTTAGAAAATATAAACGATTATGTTACTACTGTGATACCTCTTTTGTTAAATTTTGTTTTAATATTGTAATACACTGAAAAAGAAATAAAAATCAACATAGTTAATTGGTAGAAAAATATAACTTATTATACTAGATTAAATAATCAAATATCTAGATATTTATACTTACATATTGAATTCCAAGTATTCCTTTTGACGACAAATCATTCAAATTGTCGATAATATTTTGCACATTTGAGAAAGATTTGATACGGGTGAAAACAAATTGTTTATCGACAGTACTTAAATATGGTAAGAAAGCGACTGCTAAATGTGGTTGTTGAGTTAGAAAGCAATAATTTAAAATATCATTGAATTTTAGCTCATATGTAACAGGACACGAATACAAAAGACAGAATGCAGTTATGCAAGCATCTATTTGTTCCGAGGATGGTTTCATATCCATTTTACTGAATGGTTCTACTATAACAATTTGCCATGCCAATTTATATCCTTTACATGTTGTAATGATACTTGTTCTACTTATTCGTGGTAAAATTTCCGTCAATTCAATTACCTGAAGGAAAAACATTTAATGATATAATATTATAGATTATTGTAATATTAAATAGATATAATAATTAAATGCAATATCTTTTTTACCATAACTAATCTAATCATTTCCATTAAACATTTATCCCAAATAGCACAGTCATTTATATTGTAATCCATGCAAATGTCTGCAATTAAAGTCAAAGCTTGTCGAGAATGATATTGAGTGTTTAATAACATTTGTACAAGTTCGTGTTTAGAACTCGTTTTGAACGTGGTTATATCGTATCCTAATCCTAATGTTTCCAATTTGCTTACATATTTTAAAATTTTTGTATATTGTCTGTAAAATGATACGTAAAAGATCATGATACGTTTTTAAATATATCAAAATAAATATGAATGAATGTATTATCTATATGATTGAGTTATACCTAACAGTTGATATTTCTCGTTTTGTTAGGTTCTCTAAAGTCGTTGGATCTGTCATCGATTGCAAAATGTCCAATGCTCTGTATCGCATTTCAGTATTATAATCATTTTCAGGATTTTCACTAAAACCAATGTCTATTAGAAAATGTACCGATAAATCAACATTTCCGTGTTGAAGCATGTAACAAGCTCTGTAAAAAAATTAATAATTAATACATAATATTATTCTAATTGAAATTAAAATTAAATACGTTACCACCTGCATAAATTAGTTTCAGAATTCAAACTGAGGTTTGCTCGATTTAAAGTAAAAAGTACATCCGTAACACTCTGATCAAATCCATTTTGTTCAATAGCATCTGGTTGTAACCATTCTTGAAGTAATTGGAAACGCAGTTTGACTAAATTCAAATTAAAGAGATGACCTAAAGCATCAACGGCTGAATTGATATCAGGTCTAATATTTATTGCACTTTGGTATCTTAATGGTATACTATCATCCATATATAACGCATGAACTAACTCGTGTGGATACGAAATCAAAGAGATATAATTTTCTTTTCCCAAACCGTGAGATCGTAATATATGCTCAGCGGTGAATCTTTCATATTTAAATCGAATTTTCTGCAATAAAGAAAAAGAATTACAATTATCAATAATACTTTTACAAATATATTTATAATTTAGAGAAAGAAAAATAAAAAAGAAAGATATTTACTTCTAATAAACCTTCTTCGAAATTCGTTGATTGTTTAACCGCCAATTCGGCAAATTTAAAACAATGCTTTATCGCAGCTACTTGATCAGCACCTGTAATTTAAAAAATATTTTACATTATATATTAATAATATGATTAATTATATATATACCAGGAGGTGTGTAATTAACAACGTAATATAATGCAGCAGTCGCATAATATAACGCATCTGGTCCCATTCGTTCGATACACTTTATTACGTTTTGAAGGAAAATATTATTTTTAGGATAAATCGACCATTCCATAGTTTTTCTTCTGCTATTTATAGGTCCCCATTCTTGAATGACTGCTTCCTTTATGGCAACAGTACATAATATATGCGGTTCTAATTTGATGATAGGTACGATAGTCAACCATTTTTCATAAGACTTCAAATTTAATTCAGATGCTATAATAAAAAAAGAAACAAATAAAATTATACTAAACAATTAATAAGTTTATTATTTGAAATATAATTTAGTAAAGAGTTTTCTTACTTATTAGTTTCCAAATATCGATTTTGGGTAAAAAAGGAAGCCTATATTCTGAAATAGCAGGTAACGATTTATATTCCGGACTAAAACGCACCCATTCTTCCTGTTCTACTAACGTAGGTTGTCTAGAAAAATAAAATAAAATACAATTTTCAATACGTGTGTGTGTCTGTATGTTTATATTAATTTTTATAACTTTTATTACTTACCCGCATCTAGTATAATTTTTTAAAAAACAAAAATAATTTCTTGTTTCACTGCTTTCTATTTCCGCCAGGTCCAATAAAATAATAAATGCTTCGTAATGATAGAAATTAATCTGCGTTAGAAGAAAATAAATATAAGAGACACAGAACGGAGCGATATTAAATATTTAATCATTTTGTAATAGTAAAAACTTACTTCCGACAATATACTCTTAGCATATTGTTTGAATGTACTTTTCTCAATAATTTTGTTTACCACGGTAGTACACTTTGCTCTTAATTTATTTACCTCCTCTTCGGGAATTTGTAATTCTGTTGAATTGTTGTGTATATGAAAAAGATTCAGAATAAAATATTTCATTTAAAAAATTATTTTAAATATAGATATGTTGTAATATTTACCTCTTTCTCCATTGCAATAAGAAATTTTAAATGTTGGAGTCCAAGTATTTAATAATACTTTTAGATAAAGTTTCAAGCAATCGTCTATATCAAATCCAAAAGATTTACAAAAATCTTGAAGAATAGGAATCATGTTTTTATTATTGTTATTCATTAAACGTGTTAATATTTGTCTTTTCTTGTCGTTGTCGCTGCTAAAAATCTCTGTAAATAAATATAGATATTTATACATTTATATTTTATTTAATATTTATAAAAAACAAAAGAAATTATACAAACCTCTATATGCAATAGAATAAGCAGTCAATCTTTGTGCCCAATAATGTAACATTTTATACCATTTAACTGATTCCAATTGTGATTGATTTTGTTGTAAGCTAAAGTATTCGTAGGCTAATATCGAAGTAGTACTATGTTTTGCAAAATCCGTTAATCTGAAAAAATACAATTAATGTTTGTATTATTACTTTTAAAACTACTTTTTATACGATTATACTTACGACTTAGATGCTTCTTCATCGGATAACATAAAAAGACAGGCCAAACCAAGTTGTAAATCAAATTTAGGAGCATTTATAACTCTTTTCAATAAGTTTTGTATATTCTGCGATAACACAGATTTTAGTTTATTTAATATATTTTGTTCGATTTTTAATGAAAAACAAAAACTGAAGTATAATGTTTTAACTATATTGAATAATGCGTATTCCTTATGTATAGTAATAATGTTCCTCATTTTTATAAGTAAATCATTCAGCAATTCTTCTATCGTTTTCTGGATGTAGTAACATAAAGTTTCAAAATTTAAATTTATTAGAAATAATATAATATATATATATATAAATAATTATAATTGAAAGTACCTGCTCTTTAATCATATCTTCTTTAACTGTTTCTGTTTTGTTCGCTATACGAGATAATATAAAATTGTTAATATATTATACATAACGTATAAAAACATTTTGATACTTTAAATTATTACTCACACATAATTTTGAAGTTTGCATATTTTATAACAATAGACAATACATCTTTTATTACGGTAAAAAATAATGGTTCGAATGATATTACGAGATCATTATACATCGTGTGTAATTTCAATTGCGATTTTTGTATCTTTTCAGGATTTTCATTTACAGTACTTGTGTTATTTGTAGCTAAAGATTTCGAATATAAGTCTGCCAAATTATGATACTTAAGTATATATTCTATTTCACCTATAAAAACAAAAACAATTCAATTAAAAGCTAACGTGTTATTAAAAAAAAAAAAAAAACAATAAAATACAATGCTTTTTAGACACTTACATCCAGTGCAACAGTTTAATGCGCGTGCGCATAAACTTTTTATAATTTTTGCAGTTTCTACATTTACTTTTGTATTGTTTAAAGTTAATCTACATACATCCTTCACGTATTTACACTCGTTTGCTGTTATGTCAACGTTTGGTTTCTCAAATCTATAAAATAATAAAAAAAGGTATATTTATGTATAATAAATTATTGTGTTCCAAATAATATTATATAAACTTACCCAATTAAATGTTTTAATATGTCAAGATTTTGTGTACCTTCTAATAGTACAGAGATAACTTTCAGTCTCGGTAATTTCAAAATATCTCCAAGTTTAACAGCTTTTTTGTACGCAGTCATAGTAGATAAAGATTGCGCGTTTACTTCTAATTTAATAATATTAATACATGAGTGTCTTCATTTTCTGTGCGTGTATGTGAACTACTAAATTATTTTATAAAATAATTTTTTACCATGACTCAAATTGGCGATACAAGTCTGTAATATTTTATCCTTTCCAATATACAATTCACCAAGAGGAACAATAATATTGAACTCCTTTTTAATTCGATATAAATCTTTAACTGCGTTAATTCTTTTTGAAAAGCCTTGGTAATAGATTTGTTTAATTTTAGATTCCATTAACATTTCTTGTAATTTTGCATCGATCCAACTTAAACATTCGAAGTAATTTTCTATAGATTCAGGAACATCCTAAAAATAAATTTTATTAAAAATTAGCGAAGGAACACATGCTCCATGAATTAAATCACAGTATAAGGAGTTAACAATAATAATAATAATAATTCTTAGATATCGATACCTTTAAAGTAAAACTAGAAACGATATAATTAATGATTCTCTCACAGCAATAAAGGACAATATCATCTTCCAAATCGTTTAAAATTTGAAATGGTATATCCAAATTTCTGTAACACGATTAAATACTTTAATATCAAAAAAATATAAAACTGAATTAATCAATTAATTTTAATAATAATTTAACTCACTCACCCTCGAGTTAAATAATAATTAATACAAGACGATAATGCGTTTTTTCTTAATAACACATTATTCTTAGTCAATTCGTATAAATCGTTTATCATTTCTTTATGGTTTTGTTTGATAATATAAAATATTAATTTCTAAAACACACAAAAAATTGGAATTATAAAAATACTTGCAGTTTTGTATACTATAATAATTAATATTATATACTAACATCGTTAATACCAATGTTCGCATAACCATACTTCTTCAATATAAATTTTATTGGTACGTAATCTCGTTCAATTTTAATTTTTGTCGATAAAGGATGATCAAACTTTGTACTTATTTCTGCTAACTGTGATATAGTCGGACTCCATGGAATGGGTGCTTTTTTTAATATCTCTAATGTTATCTTAAGCCGATTCTGTAAAATATAATTTTATTTTAATTTTTTTTCATTATTAATTATAATTATTAATTAGTTTACCTGAATATCATGTACAAAAGGGATAACAACAGCGACTCTTCTTTCCCATTGAGCTTCTTCCCATGTCCACCAATCTTTTGAATTATATATAAGTTTCTATAACATTTAAATATTATGATTAAATATTTAAATATATTATTTTATATATATATAAAGAATATTACTTACTTGGATATACGAAGAAAATACTATATCATTTTCTAAAGAATGATTAAGCATATACTGTTTTAAAAATTTGTTTATGAATTCATGAATACCTTCGATTAGTATTTTATTTAATAACAAATGTATTACGTCAATCGGATCACCGATATAAGAATTGATAGGCACCTTTATCCTGTAAACAATATTTTAATACTATTTATTTAATTCTTTTGAAATTTTGTTATAACGATAACTTACCTATAATCAATTTTCAATAATTTTAAATCGTGTAGACTTTGAACGATATGAATAAATAATTTGAATGTTGAGCTTTCATTAATATTTTCCTTATAAAAATATAAAGGTGGATTTTTATCGAATTTTAACAAAGCTAAAAATTTAGTAGCAAAATCGATGCCTATTTGAGGCCATTGTTCGGATTGAAAATTTTCCAAAGATATTATTTTTTGACAACCCCATGTAATCATATCATCTATCGATGCAGGTAATAGCGATAATAGAGAAGGCATAAAATTTGATAGCCACGCCCATAAAAAGTTTAGAGAAATTTTATCTGGAATTAATTTAAGAATATTTCGTACGGTTTGAATCGATAAATTCTTTTCTATGTCTGGCAAATGTCTGGACCAAATTAAAGCTGCAGCTTCAAGTTCTCCCTATCAATAAATAAACATATTATTTTTCAAGTATTATAAAATATGAAAATAACTTTTAGCTTACCTTACTCAAACGAATTTTACATTCTTCAAACAAGTCAGCTCGCGAGAAGCGTAACCATTCGTTTAAAGTTTGATCCAAGGTATATTCGTTAGTTATTAAAGTTTCGTAAAGTATTTCAAAAGTTTCTAACTTATGAACAGCGGTATTTATAGATTTAATATTTAGCTGCTCATTTGGTATCATGTTCATATTATCCTACATACACACACACAAGTATAACATAATTAATATTAAAATTACAATAAATTATTTATTTTATAAAGATTTCTCAAAGATTACCTTGCTATTATCAACAATTCTTTGTCTCGCGTATAAAAGTAATTTTTTCATCTGCTTGTAATCTATCATAAGAGCATTCGTGCAACATGTAATAATAAATTGCAAGTTATTTATTTGATTTAATGTATTTATCAACATATCTAAATTAATCTGTTCCGATGTTCTTTTAGCCCAAGGATTAAGTTGTTCTACCAATAACATCGCTTTAGAAATATGAATACTTTCCAAAGTTAGATTGAACCTTTTCGCAAAACTCTCAGCCTCTTCGAATTGTCTTCTCTTTAATAATCTTTCCAAACAGAGGCTTGGCGCACTTTCTATTATACTTTTTATTCTAATCGTATCAATGTATTTGCCATTGATTATTTTTTCTATGAATAATATCGATCTGATAGATGAATTCAAAGTATTTACTAAAGCTGTAGTCGAAGGTACATTTATTATTTGAAACTTTTCTTCAAAATCTGAAATGTTATAATGCACGTTTAAATTATTCCAAGTCTGGAATGTTTCTTTTAAGCATAAAAAAGAAAAAAAAAACAAAAAATCATTTACCAGGGAAAGAAACCAAACGTAAAGTTAATGTATCCTTATTTTCATTTTCTAATAAAAGTAAAATTTCCGAATAATTGTCCCTTTCGTCAATAATTAACATAAAATCTGATACTTTTTCTTTGTAGATTTGTTTACCGATTAATGTTTTAGTACAAACTATCCTCATAAAGTTATCCATACATAAACATAACATTGCACTGGAATATATATAAAAAAAATGTAAAGAATATTAGAAAATAATTATAATAAATAGAAAATATAATCGACGTTTGCAGAAACTTAGTTAAGACTTACTTGAGCTTTTTAAGAATTTGAATTTTTTTATAACTAAATGACAAAGTAGTAAAATTGCAAGAATTTTCACTTGGCCAAGTAAAACATGTATCTTTTCCTATGAAAATAAAATTTGAAATATCTGATGCAACTGCTACCGCAGAAAATCTCTAAAAATTAAGAAAACATTAACATACTATTAGTCAATGCTCTATTACATCGATAAGATTTTTTTTTTATATTACCTCGTGTTTATCGGTTCCAGCAAAATCTATATCAACTTGTAAACTTTTTTCAAATGTTTTCTGCGACTCTATATTTTCGTAATCAATTACATTGTTGGTTAATTCTTTGGTAGGAGGGAAAGTAATTCTGAAATGTTTGAATTTATATGAGACAATTCAAAAACCATAAATATGAGTCTTATTCATAGTAAATCTTACAAGTCAAATGTAAGAAGCAAAACAAAGTATAGCAGGGAATACAACAAATAGCTTAGCATGTTAAATCATAGCACAAGGGGTTAAAGAGAAATTATAATCATTAGATCCTTCATTACAATACCTATGAATAACGCCTCTTCTATTAACGAGAATAATTTGCATTGAATCGTTACCATTTTCATCTAATAATATTTTCATAATATCCAAATGATTGTTCGTAATATGAAATGTATTTCTAAAAAAGAATAAGAAAAATAATTAAACCAATATCGCATGATGATTCTATGATTAAAGTGTAAACTAATATTTTATACGATAAGTGTTTTACTCACATAGAAAAGAGAATTCTAGTCTCTTCTATTAAGTATAAACAAAAAAGCATTCCATTTTCTAATAAGACGTATAAAAATTCTTCATTTTTTGATATACAACAAGATGTTATTAAAAAATCAAAAGCAATATTTAGTAATATGTTTTGACATGTTTCGTCTTCGAATATTGTAATAGATTTATCTACCACTATACACAATCGAGTATACTGAAGAAAAACTTGAATAGTTGGTTCATTTTGGACCTAATAAAAAAAAATAAAATTAATAATATTAGTTATTAAAGAATCTTTGTAAAAAAATTAATAAAAATGTTTTAAATTTCGTTTACCTCTCCATCTGGTTGAATGGATGCAAGTGTGACAGTTTCATAAATAGATGTTTTACTTTCTACAACTTGTCTTTTTCCAAAATTAATAGTCTCATCTTCTGTATCAAAACCTGACAAAACCTTATTCCACAAAGCCATTTTATAGCTGTTTTATAACTAAAACTATGAACACAACATTTTCATAATAATCATATAAAAATATTAACACTATAATATATATATATATATATATATATATATGTACCTTAAATGTAATATTTTATTATTTGATTATTTTTCTGTACAAATTTTTACACAAATTGCAGTTAAAAACTCAAATAATTCAAAAATGTTCACTCTGTAGACAAAACAAATTGAAATTTAGTATAGATGGCGTTGTTATTTTACTAATTACCAATGCACCAATCAGATGATTAGACTTGCAATCATTCATTAATTACTAATGTACCAATCAGATGATTAGAATTGCAGTCATTCATTAATGACCAATGCACCAATCAGGTGATTAAATTTCCAGTCGTTGATAATTATCAATGCACCAATCAAATGATAAGATTTGATTGTAGATGGCACAACTGTTCTATCCAATGTATTATCTGAATTGTCATCACAAAGAGACGTAACAAATCTGATAAGACCTTTTAAAAATAATTGTCATTTTTATTAGTAACTAATAATGTTGTAATAATTATTAAATTATTCAAATAACAATATTAGTAAGATAAAAAAATAATTATTGAAAAATACAAAAATTTAAGACCTAAAAAACTGTTTGAAAAAATTAACAAAAAGAAAGATTGATATAATGGTTTCAAATTGAGAAACAGTGAGTTTGAAAATTTATTAATTCAACTTTTAATGATATGTTAATAAACGGATTTCAAGTTTTTTTTTCTAATTAAAACATATAATCTTCAAATTTAGATGCAGTCAAATAACGTGAATAAATTACATGAAAAAAAAGTAATGAATCATTAATTATTAAATATTATACAGTGTAAAAAGAATAGAGCGAAGACTAAATAACAGTGAGGAGACATGTGCAGATGTTACGCAGTACATTTAGGTGGATGACAGGTTCTTCAAATATGGATTCCAATAAAGATAATGACAGTCTCACTATTAGTGAGATTAAAGATGAATCTGTAGGTTCCGATTCTATAGAGGTCAATAAATATTTTCATTAATCTTATATTTATTATTATTTTTTCTAATTTATATTTGTTATATTACGTATATTTTATTAGGTGGATAATTCAAAAACAGTTTTATTAAAAATAGCAACGTTATATGCAGAACGTCTTATGAATGATATCTGTTTGGTCGTTGATGGAGTAGAATACCCAGCACATCGTCTTATTCTTTGTGCTTCTAGTGATGTTTTCCAAGTAAATATATCATTTATTTTTATCAACCCCTTGAACTATAAAAACGCATGAATTTTATGATATGTTTTATGACTCGAACACAAATTCTATTCATGACAAATTGTATAAACCAAATGTAAAAAACGAGAAATGATAGCACCAATTATATCACACAGCTTTATGCATTAAATCTTAGTACAAGGAGTAAATTATAATTTACAATACAATGGCATTAATCAGTTTGTTTAAATTGTAGGTAATGTTAATGAGCCCGCAATGGAGCGAATCTCAAGAAAGTAGAGTAACATTGCAAGAAACTCCTCAGTGTGCACCTATATTTAGTGAATTTTTACGATACTTATATACCGGTCAGATAAGAATTAATCATGGAGTAGTTCTCCCAATCTTATCGTTAGCAGATAAGTATAATGTTAAAGATTTAATATCGTTGTGCCTTGACTATATGCAAGATCATATCGCTTTGGCTGCAATACATGGCACATTGGTATCATGGTTACAATATACTTCTAATTGTGGTCATCAGGATATTACGCAGTCATGCCAAAATTTTATTAAATGGAATTTAGAATTAGTCGCCAAAACGTCAGACTTTGGGAACTTTGATCTTGATATTTTAGTGTCGATGTTACATCAAAGTAGTTTAGTTATAAAGGATGAGATGACACTTTATAAGTGCCTGGAATCATGGTTAGTTCATCAGGCTAACAGATTAAAAAATCAATTGTCGCCGGATGATTTAGAAGCGACGTTGAAACAGTTGGTAGTTGCTGTTATGTCCCTAGTTAGATTTCCTATGATGTCACCTAGACAATTGGCGGAATTACTATTATCACCTTTAACTAAAAAGTACAAAGAATTTTTTGTTGAACGTATGTCCATAGGAATGTCTTTTCATTCTGGACAAATAGATAGAGTTAAAGAAGTTTGTTTGAATGAAGAAGATGGTTCTCTGTTATTCGAACCGAGACTTTACACCATCGACACTTGTAGTTCTTTGCTTACGATAGAAAATTTTCACGAATTACCTTCTTATCATACAAGGACGCTTGTCTTTTCCAGTCATTCCTGTCTGGCAGAATATGCTGGTGACAAGGCATGCGAATGGGTTGTTGATATTTATCCCAAAGGTGTTTGGTTCAAAAAGTTTTTCCTTATTGTTTGGCAAGGTACCGTCGAAATGCCAGAACACGTCAAACGTTCTGTTAGATTGTCTTTAACTTGTAAGGAACCACCAGTCAATGACGATACCGATATGAGAGTAAAGATAGGTGTTCTGATATATGGACTCCAAGATGGAGTTGAACATATTGCAAGAGTGACTGAAATTATACATAGATTTAGTACAAAAGAACGTGTTCTCAATCTAGACGATTTATTACCATTTGAAGAACTTAATCCTCGACTACGTACTATAACTGATAACGCAGTATCACCATTTCTAGTTGGGCCCAACAAAGACATACTTAAATTACACATAGTCATTTCTCCAGCTAATTAATGTGTACGAATATTAATATTCTATTGTATTAGGAATATGCTTGAGAAAACCATCAAAGGAAAAATAATATTTTCCCTTTCTCTCTCTCCTTATCTAAGTAAATATGTGTTCTTTGATATCATATAATTTCTTTTTCTTTATAAATTTAACGATTTTTTCATTCATGTTATTGATTATTAAATAATGGGTGACCAATTAATTTAGGACGTATTAAAAGTGAGATATTAAACGTATGATTTGTTATATTTTATAAATTATTGTAAGAGATCTTTTTTGTTTGTTTTATTTGTTAATTATATAACATAGGAAATACATTTTTTTTAAATATATTTTTAATAAGAAAAAATAAATACTTAAATTAATATAATATATATAATTTTTACATGTATATATATTACATGTATACATATGTAATTTATATATATATAATATATATATTAGTATTATTTAAGTTTCTTGTTTCAAAATATGATTTTCTATGAGATTATAATATCAGAAAAAGCAAACAAATAAGATAAAGAGAAGAAATAACTGCACAATTAAGAACTAAGTTTATTATGTGATTAAATCTGAAATTAATCGAGTATCAAAATTTTAAAATTAGAAATGAAAATATTGTCGATGTACATAATTGTGTCAAAATAAATAAGAAAATAATTTTTAGATCATTCTCGGAAGACAAATGCGATGGGGTATTTTAAAGCTTTACGAGAAGTAGTATATAAGAAATTAAATCCCTGACTGTTATGTAATGTTGGAAATTATATAATTAACTTCCTAACTGGTATTCCATATTCTTCATTCCCATTTTGCATGATAAGATTTTTCTCATTGAATTTATGTATAGATATAGATGTATTTAATGAACATTTGAACGTAAGACGAAAAGAAAGATTAATGTAATTGGAAATTTGGAATTTTTTTACTGTAATTATTACACACCAATAAGTTTGCGATTAATATTTTAAACGAATTACCTATGTAGAAAACTGCCTAAAAGAAAATAAATCACGTATATTAAATAAATTTTTAAAGGTGTTACGATTATGTTAATTATATTAAAGATGTAGTCATGTTAATTCTTTTGAAGAAGCAAACGTTCTAAACGAGACCCTTTACAATCAATTTCTACCTTGGTACATTTCTAACAATATTTAATGTTATATTTGTTATAGAATTTTAAATAATTATATTTTATATTTAATGTATAAACATGTGTGTGCCTTCAGAAATGCATTGAAACATATATTTTAAAAGACAATAATTCAAGTTGCTCAAATAGAAGAAAATCAAAAAGGTTTGATGTTGAATCGAACGATGATCACGTAATATAAAGTACTACCGACGTAGAGTAAAATAGATTAGAAATCTGCTATTATCCACGGTCGGTTTTGTATTAATAGATAACTGCGATTTCCGACGGTCGATATTGTCAAAGTAAAAACTACTTTTACCGATGGCAAATAAGTTATAGGTAGATTTCTACTATTTCCGATATGGTCCTTAGCCGGCCTTTTACTAAAGTGCTAAAGATTTGAAATATGCAATTAATGGGCAATCAAGAGTACTTATTCATTTTTTCTGCTGTTCAGGTTCTATGCTTACTTTTTTGCGGTCATTAGAGTGGCTTTTGCAAATATTTTTTCCAGGTCGATGCGCCACTATAGTGGCTCACTCCAGTAGCTTACTTGTTTGAATTAAATAATCGTCTTCATAGTCATTCATATTTAAGAGAAATGTTAAAGTTTTAGTATGTATAATATTTTTTTAAGAAAAATTATAATATATAATTATTTTATTATTTACATAATTTTATTATTTAAGCAAATATTTAATTATTAGGATTATAATTCTTAACTATTTTTTTTAAACGCAGTGCATACACGACCAATAAACAACACGCATAAACGCATTACGATTAGAACATATCTCATACGTGATTAGTCGAGAAGAACGAACTTTGACTTTTATTGGTATTTTATGTTGCATTTCGATTGGTTGATCATTTATATCTCGACTAATGATCGCGTTGCAAAAAAATGGCGTACTAGTCATAATGAAATATTCTTCCTGTAGTTTTCCCATCACATAAGTAAATAATTCTAGTCCTCCTACACCAAGGAGTTGATCTCCTCTCGGTTCGGGTGATTAGTTCGTTTGTTCCACGTATAAAAAAATAGTTGACTCAATATTAACACTTTAAATGATTAAATAATAGAAGAAAATTTAATTATTAATCGTGGATGAATTTAAGGAAAGTGTCAAAAAAAACGTTACGTTCAATAATAATGTTTATACATGTATTCTTGATACCTTTTAACGCTCCAATATAACGTTCAGAATATATCTACCTATTATAACAACTTGACACGAGATAATATGATCTACACTGTGAATATATATTAGAAAAAGTGAGGAAGTGATAATTAAAATAAATAACTACAAGAACAAGAAGTGGTAAAGGTGTAGGAAAAATATTCGGGAAATTTGACGCAACGAGAACGAGAAAGAGAGAGAGAGAGAGATAGAGAGTGAGTGGGGGTAGGGTATTGTATGTGTCTCTCTCTTTTACAAGAGCATTGAAATATATTTCATATTTAAAAACAAAAAAGAAAATTTAAATAAAATAAGAAACGTAACATCGAGGACTGAACATATTTTGGGTGACCGTGGACCAAAAAAAGCTAACTGACAAGAAATCGTTATTCGCACACACTTCGGATCTAATCGCATTGAATAGGACGAAAACGTTATTCGATTTTTTCATTGCGCACTACGGTTGAGTCCGGTTTCTCCGGTTTTGTGTGCAGCAGCAACAGCAGCAKCAGCAGCTTACGTTGTTTATGTCATCGCGACGCCTATGGCGACGAAGTGTTTTGTTTTTCCCGATCGATGACGGAATATTTCCCAAATTACATCTTATGATTTAGATTTTTGCGACACTATTTTTGTAGCTCTACTATATACCATATTTAAGAAGAACAAGAAGAAAGAATAAAATAATCTTAGAAGAAGGATAAACATTGATGTTTAACGATTTTATTAAAATCCTAGTAAACTTGTTAACAAGAGGATTCTACATAATTAAGTAGAAACAAAAAAAGAAGAAGAAGAAAGACGTAAATTATAAACTTGCTTTTATTATATATAGTAATAAATAATAATAACATTAAATCATTAGAGCAAACGAGCGAGAAGATTAACGAAAGAACAATAAGTAATATTAATAATAATAATAATAATAATAATAATAGTAATAGTTTGACTAAGCGCAGGATGGCATCATCAACGATAGCTGTTCCTTCGGGAACAGCATCAGTATCGACAACTGTTGTCGGTATTGCTGGAAACGAAGAACTTGATGGCGGGGATTTGTTAAACGAAGTTAGGAACATTAACAATGTTACTGGTTACAACAATAGTAGTAGTTCAGGTGATGCATTAGAAGAGATGACTTGTAACAATGGTAAAATAGAAGATCAACAATGCACATTGTGTACGAGCAAATTGTGCTCGCCTCGCGTATTATCCTGTCTTCACGTATTCTGCGAAGGTTGCTTAGATAAACTACTCATAAATGGAGCTGGAGATTCCAAAGTGGAATCAGTATTAAAATGTCCCCTGTGTTATCAAGAAACTTCCGTCAGTTCCAAAGGCGCTGCATCTCTAACTTGTGATTATGTATTAACTAATATACTCGACATGTTTGCCATTGAAAATATGGCCGTCTTATGTACCTCTTGCAAGGCTAAAGAAAACGCTGTCGCGCGTTGCTCAGATTGTGCCAATTTTCTCTGTCCTAATTGTAACACGGCACATCAGTTTATGCGCTGCTTTGAAAGTCACAAAGTCATCGCCTTTGAGGATTTGAAGAAATCTAAGGAAACTATTCCTATACATAAACCTATTTTTTGTGAATATCATCCAACCGAAAATATGAAATTCTATTGCTACACGTGTCAGGTAAGTTTAAAGTTTTTCTTTTTTTACAATGAAAATTGTTCTTCTATCAACTTGATATTTTGATTAGGAACCAATCTGTAATGAATGTCTTCTTATCGAGCACAAAGCACCGGATCATCAATACGAGAGATTAGCTGATGCTGAACCACGCGAAAAGGAACAATTATTGAATTTAATGTCCGAAAGTAAAGCCAAAATAAAGGACTGCGATCAAGTTACGACGCAGTTAGAAAATGCACTTAGTGAATTGCAAATACAACGTGATCAAGCTAAGGATTTAATAATGGAAACTTTCCAAAGTTATAAGGCTATTTTAGAGAAATATCGAGATAATGCTTTGGAAGAACTTGAAAAATTACACTCAGAAAGAGAGCTCGAAATAATGGATAGTTTTCATAAGTAAGTTTTAATCGTATTTATTCGAATTAGATCATTAACCCTTTGTACTTTAATGCATGAGACTTGTGATATATTTTACAATTTAAACTTGAGAAACACGAGCCCTACTCACGGAAAATTTTACAATTAAATCATAGTGTGAGGAATTAATATAGTGTTTGAATGTTATGCATATTTTTAAATATTTATTCTTTTTTATTAGTGTCGCGAAAGTTGCTGAAAAAATAGACGACGCCTGCCGTTTTACATCCAGGCTTTTAGAACATGGAGATACTGTGGAAATATTAGCTCTTCGTCGTATCGTAGGAACACAACTATTAAATTTAATTAAAAATACCCCAAGTCCTCACATTACATTTTGTATAGAGTTCCAGACAGATTATAGTCATTTTGAAAAAGCTATTAAGGTATTTGAAAAGTTATTCTACATATTTTCTATTTTTATTATACACTGCAAAGGTAATAATCTATTTTGTTTATTTATTTCTATTCAGGAGGCGTTTGGTAAATTTCATACAGAAAGTACACCGATAACAAAAATTCTTCCAGAAATAAAACCAACCATACCAGGTGTTTCCTCTAATCAGCAAGTCGTTCACACTTCAATAAGTTGTCCTAGTACAATCAGTACGAGTTCCCCCATTTCAATTCCTGCCTCGATGCAATCCTCATTCGAAGGTGAACCTTCATTTGTTATTCCACCTACATCTAGTCCTCAAAATATTCCACCTCCGCCACCACCTGTTTCTCTTCCACCAGGTCCCATTCATGGTTTGACCAGTATTCAAGAATATAATTTACAACAACTAGTTAGTTTAGCGGAAAAAGAAATTGTTAACGACACTCGTGTTATCGGACCTAGCTCTAATTCGAGTCCTACTCCTTCCTTTACGCTAGTCGATTTATTTACCGGCGATTTAAGCTCTACCAATCATGCCATCAACAATTTGCAAGCTCTTGCTAAATTAGGAAATACTCTTGGCAGTCAAGGTGAGAAAACAATTACGGTATTTCTCTTTTATTTATTATGAAATCAATCATTTGCTTATACATATTACATTTAAATTTGTCTATGTAGATTTAGGAAGTGCAACAATTAATGGTAGTGGAGGTCTAGTACTTGGGCGTGGACCTTCCCCTGGTATTGTTGATGCACCTAACTTGAACACTTTAACTGCCAACAGTCTTATGAATGGTGGTTTCCAATCGCTTTCATCATCCACTTCTCCTGTACTCTCACAGGGTGCTGGTAATTTAAATTCATTTAAATTTACTTTCATTTATATTTGTTAGAGAAAAGTTATTATTTAGATATTTTTGTTTAATTTTAGATGAACTTATCAATGATACGATACATAATATACCTGTAGTAGTAGGTAATCCGGTTGCCAATGTAACTAGTGCAGGAAGTGGAAACTATACGCATCCTCGTACTAACAATGCTAAATTAACACCAATGCAAATTCGAAGTAAATTTGGTCAGTTGGGTCCCAGTAAAGGACAATTTAATTCACCTCATGGATTTTGCCTGGGTACCGACGAAGATATTATTGTCGCTGATACTAATAATCACAGAATACAGGTACGTTAGAAAATCATTGAGTTAAATATAATATAAAGAAATATGTAAGATATTACTCATCATTGCATATACATTTTCAAATGATAGGTTTTTGAGAAGACTGGTACGTTCAAATTTCAATTTGGTGTACCTGGTAAAGAAGAGGGTCAATTGTGGTATCCAAGAAAAGTAGCGGTTATGCGTAATAGCGGAAAATTTGTAGTATGCGATCGTGGAAATGAACGATCTAGGATGCAGATATTTACTAGAAACGGTCATTTTATTAAAAAAATAGCCATTCGTTACATCGACATTGTAGCTGGTTTAGCTGTTACAAGCCAAGGTCAGATTGTAGCAGTTGACAGTGTGTCACCTACTGTATTTGTCATCAACGATAATGGTGCCCTTCTTAGGTGGTTTGACTGCAGTGATTATATGAGAGAACCAAGTGATATTGCTATCAGTGGTAAATTAATTATTATTAACATTTCGTATATTACATTAAAATTAAATACTGTATATATATATATATTTATATATTAATATTTAATTTATAATTTATCTATACAGGAAAAGAATATTTTGTTTGTGATTTTAAAGGACATTGCGTTGTAGTATTTAATGAAGAAGGAAAATTTTTGCGTCGTATTGGCTGTGAGAATATAACTAACTTTCCAAATGGAATTGATATTAGCGATGCCGGAGATGTTCTGATTGGAGATTCGCATGGTAATCGATTCCATGTGGCTGTCTTTTCGAGGGATGGTTCATTAATTTCTGAATTTGAGTGTCCATACGTTAAGGTAAGATAAATATGTATAGATATAGGTAGATATTTTATTTTATGTATATATATATATATATATATATATATATATATATATATATGCTATTGGTTTGTGATAATCTATCTTAAGACGAGAATTTGTTAATATTTTGTTGAATTTTTGTTAATGTAATTGTATGTTGCAGGTATCTCGATGTTGTGGCCTGAAAATAACTTCAGAAGGATACATAGTAACGCTGGCTAAAAACAATCATCATGTCCTCGTGCTGAACACTCTTTACATAGTATGAAGTGAGAAAAAAATAATAATAATAATAATAACAATATCACTAATTTTCTTCAACATCGGAGCTTCTATTTGGAACTGCTCTATTTTCAACGAAGGATAAGGATTTAAAAAAAAGAAGGCATGCCCAAGACACACTAAACTACTTAATTATTGGGCCTATCAAAGCAATAGAAACAAGTGCAGCAGCATGCAGCTTTAATAGTTGTAAAAAGTATAATGCGTCCCTCTTCTATGAAAGTACCAACATTGAAAGGAGAAAAAAAAGGTAAATGTATATTTCCGACCAATCAATATCATAATAGTAATACGTAGCGAAGTTGCATTTGGTAAACTGCCAGAGTATAAAAATTAAACATAATTAAGCAAACGTAAAGAAGAAAAAAAAACATAATAATAATTAAAGAAACAAAAAAAAATAAGAAATACGTTAAAGGAAAAGTAAGGAAACGAAAGCAAAAGAAAAGGAAAAAAAAGATATTAAAAAAAAAAAAAGAAAAAATCTACAAAAAATAATAATAATAATAATAAATAAATAAATAACGATGCAGTGTGTGTTGCGCTGATGACCCGAAGTCAATCAATTGAAGTTGCTTCTTTAGTAGAGGAAAGCAATTTTAACATAATGGCCTTTCGTCAAAATAGGTCCGTGGTACCATAGTTTTTGACACGTCAGTATTTTAAGTATGTTTACAAATCAAATTCTAGTCTCCTACTAATTGAGCACTATATCACGGTTTAAGATTTGTGCTTAAAATAAGGCGCTACTCTCTTCTTGGTCTTGGGTTTTTTTTTGTGAATTATTCGATGGAAAAACTTCTTTGTCTTCTTTATTATTATTTAAATCGACTTAGTAGTATCTCAAGGAATGTATATATATTATAACGAATATAAAAGAGAGATATGATATAATATATATATATATAATTATTATTATTATTATTATTATTTTTATTATTATTATTATTATTA